CCCAGGCAACTTTCTGTACTCCTCAAACTCATGACTTGTTTTTTGATTAGCGTTAGTTTTTTTTCCACCAACTTCATGTCAACAGACTGTATCATCATGCCTGAAGAGGCTTGGTGCTTGGTAGAGCGTTACAAATGCATATTTATCTGTCCACCTCAAAGTGTAACTGTTATAATCACTAAATATTCTGGTGAATATCGACAAACGATAATGAAACTACAAAATCTCCCCGGTAGATTTACCTGGTCTCAGGTTGTATTAGAAAGGATTTCAGGCAGATGATATCAGAATGTGAGAAACAAACGGATAAACGAAGGGGGTCAGAAAATGTCCAAATCACTAGTGTGGAATCTAATTCTACAAGAATCCTAACGTAGTGGCGGATGGCATGGGAAAGCGTAAAATTTGATATTGCATCTGTCTGTCTGCTACTTATCAAATATAAAGTTGAGGCTAATACCGAAATTTCTATATTCTACCGTTATATACACTGACTGACTGGTTTCAGCAAAGAACTTCCAACAGATGTGCTCCACTTCCAGCTATCAGACTTCCTCCATTTACCACACAAAGCAAGAGAAGAGAGTACAGAGAGATTCAAAAGAGAGATAATAAACAGAAGCGTTAGTGAGGGAAAAAGAATAGTCCTATGGTGCAACAATAGAATTTTATTGGATATGGCTGACAAATCACAAAGAGTGAACACATCTTCTCCACTGAAAATGATTTCGAGCCATATCACCAATTTTCTCCAGCCTTCGTTAGTTCTTAGATCCCTGAGCACTCCAACCAGTCACTCAGGCAGTCTGCACCTCTCTATGTGGCTAAAAGTAACTGTTGTGGTGATGTGATACAGACAATGGGTTCCAACGGGATATTATTCTCACATATTCCCACAGTTCAATTCGGAATTAGCAACAGAATACGACATATCTACTTGAACATTCTATTTGATGTCGTTTAATGTAAACCAAAATTACACGCTCAGTGATTGGTTAAAGAATATAAAACTGTATCTATATGAACAGCGGTTTGATCACTTGAAAATATACCTTGGCTTCCGTGTCTTGCCTTCTGCTGTTACACTGTTATAGATTTCATGGACTGATGAAGCCATGTTTTCGTGTGACCACCACTAGCTCTCGCTTTTTCAACCTGGTCCATCCTATATCAGCTAAGCAAACATTGTTCGTTGAGGAAGGTAATGGCTAGGGATGCATGCGTAACACATGTCCTAACCATCTCAATCGTTGTAACTTCACAACCCCGTCGATTGATTTCCCCTCCTTACTTAGCATTAGACTGAGGCCTAGCCTAAATATTGCTCACCTTATCATACCGCTTAACACGGGAGATAGAACTCAGACACCTATGATACGAGACATCTAGCCATTTTCATGTCTACTACTTTCACTGACCATGTTTCACAGCCAGCCATAAAGGAGGACAAAGTGAAGTGGTGAGCAGTACACACGCCTTTTGGTAGACAGCCAGCCGGATATCACGTCTACTAAGCGAGAGATGTCGTCATTTAATAGAGTAATGCCAAACGGGCCTTCTGTATCCGTGATGAGATTTCGTCAGTGATCTAGCCACTGGGGGTGATGTATCTTCCCAAATAAGTGAAGTGCACATATGTACTGTCATATAGGTGTGTATTAAAACAAAACACTCAAACAAATAAGTTAATTCCGAATCCTGACACCATTTCACCCTAAAGCTATCAGTTGTCTCAAGCCTTGATAAAAAATGACAAAGGAAAATCAAACATTAAACATGGTCATCAAGCATACTCCGAAAACTTGAACGGCAGCAACAATAGATTCAGGTAAATCCATTTTACGTGAGTCGCAAATAGAATGAAATGAACATCCTTTATTCCGCTGCTAGCCTTCACGAACCAGATAACATTGTATTATCCATCAAACATCGTCAAACTGTCCGCACTACGAACTGACATGTCAATATAGACAGAATATTTTGGTTCAGTAAAATGAATCAAGAACTGGCGAGGAATCATGCTCCTGTCGACACCAAGTAAAATCCTGAGTCGCATCATCCTGGAGAGAATAAAGGACGCACTGGATACAGGACTCCGACAGAACAAGCTGGATTCAGGAAAGGCAAATCATGTTCTGACCAAATTGCAACTCTACGCATTATCATCGAACAAAGCATGGAATGGCAATCAAACATCTACCTCAACTTTATAGACTTTGAGAAGGCCTTCAACAGCGTTGACCGCGAAGTAATTTGGAAACTACTCGAGTACTACGGCGTACCCCAAATATTCATCAACCTTATTCAACAGCTGTATGACAACGGCACATGTCAAGTGATCCACAACGGAAAACTCAGAGAGGCGCTTGGAGTAAACACAGGAGTCAGACAAGGGTGCTTATTATCACCAATGATATTCCTAATTGTGGTGGACTGGATTATGCGTCAGACAGTGGGAAACGAGAAGACAGGGATATCCTGGACCGACGTGAAGAACCTAGAAGACCTGGATTTCGCGCGTGGATGATTTATGTTTGATGTCACACAAAATCGAAGACTTACAAGCGAAA